TCTCAGTGACATTGAGTCTTGTTAGTGGCAAGACTAGAAAGCACTTAGATTAGGGAAGCGGAACACGTGAGCTGTAATTATGGTTTATTTCCATATATTGGTCATGTGAGATTGAGTTAACCTTTTTAGGATTTACTTTCTATATCTTTAAAATAAAGGATTGACTTAAGTTATCCACAAAAAAAAAAAAAAAAAAAACCAACACATTCAGGATATATCTGAATGAAAGGAAATATTAAAAAAATGAAAAGCTTCAGTCGGTTGTGTCCTCAAGTATACACATCTGACATTTTGTAAAATAATAGTAGGCTGTACACTGCTTGGTCTCTCTATTTCAACATTTGGCCTCTTCTAGATGCAAATTAAAAGTATCTTACCACAGTTGCAGTATTTGCTTGATAGTTACTTTTTTAAACGTGCGTCTTGCTTTCCTGCCCTCAGAAATTTTTACAGCTAATGTTTCTAAGAGCACAAGAAAAATTTCCATTACCTGAATTCTCTGAATGCTTATTTAGCTGTATATCAAGCTAAAAAAAGAACAATGACAATACTTTAGAACGTGGATTTTAAAAACAATATGCTGCATATTGAAGCTCATCTCTTATAAAACAGAATAGAAAATAACTTGAAATCTACAGGGATTGAGAGGTAATTGAGACGCTCTACTTTCCCATACTCTTGTTTATTTATTTATTTTTAATTTGTTTTTATTTTTTGGTGGAACTGGGGATTGAACTCAGGCCCTTGTGCTTGCTAGGCAAGCACTTATTCTACTGAGCCATCTCCCCAGCCCCCTCTTGTTAAACAATGTAAATTACAGAATAAAATGATCACATCTTTGCACACTTGAATAAGATAGGGATTACTGAGCATTTCATAGCTATTGTGAAAATGACAATTTCTTTGGTTTTAAGAGAAAAAAATGAAGGATTTTTTCCTTACTAAAGATTTTCAGACTTTTTAAATTCTGAGAGTAAACATATAATTTTAATGTCAATAAAATTAAAATGGTCTTTAATGTCCATATAATTGACTTAAACTGCTTGATATAATTTCATTGAAGAAAACTTTGTTTAATTATTCAAAATTAGATTAGACTGAACTTTTTGTTTCATCTTCATATTGACACAAGATACATTAATTTTTTAAGTTGCTTTTTCATTATATAACAGTCTGACTAACGAGCTATGGAAGGGAAAAGGAATTTCATGACATTATAGGATATAAAATTGACTTTGCATCCTTTGCAAATTTTTCATCCTGTTTTTAGGACCAAAGATAAAATTCAGTCAGTACTTTTTTTTTTTTTAAGCAAAGACCATAAATACTGATTTTTAATAATTCTCTGAAAAAATATTTTTATTCATAATTATGTTAATACTATGGCTGAAACCATATGTTCTCTAGTTGTATTTTCTTTTTCTCCAATATGGTAAACCAATTCAAGAAGTATGATATTGTACAAATATGCCCCAAACAGATGAAAAGTTATGGTAATGAAAAATAATGTTGCCAATATATGTAAAATTTTTTTTTCTTTGAATAAGTATTTACCTCCTTGTAACACTAAGATGGAAAGAGTCTTATTAAAGTATTTATGAGTGGAATTGTGTTGCTGTCCTGTCACCTAGACAGTGACCCTGTGATTTTCTGTGTTAGTCCAGTGGCTGCCGAGCTGTAACGCCTTGTTAACTGTCATTTCCTTGCTCCGTAGAGCGGCTTCACTCCTTTGCACATAGCTGCGCACTATGGAAATGTCAATGTGGCTACTCTTCTCCTCAACCGCGGAGCTGCTGTGGACTTCACCGCCAGGGTATGACGGCAACAGCTTCTCATTTTAGACAGAAGCAAAGGGGGTTTTAAAGTTTTAATGAATAACAACAACCTTCTTGAAGGTTTTTACTTTCCCCTTGCTTGGATCTTCCTAAAGATGTTAGGTGTTTCCATGTTCTTTTCTGCAAATCATAGGAAGGTTTTATGACCCGAGAGGACAAAAAATAAGCATGTTGTGAGCTCACAGGCACACATATCCTTCACAGTGTATTCAGAAGCTGTTAATTTTGGCATCAGCTTGAGTGGTTATGTGTCATAAATCATGAGATCAGCTTCAAATCAATAAACAATGAAAACACTGTTAGCACATTAAACACAAAATATACAGATATAATTTACAATGATAAAAGGGCACATAATTTGACAGGAAATTTTTTGTTTAATGATTTGAGAGTTTACTTCTTTACAGAATCTCACTAAAATATATCAAAAGATATCATGGAGTGGTATGTTACTGGTTTGCTTTTATTGGACAGAATTCATTTACATAATGGTTATAAAATTCATATATGTAACAATATTTGGGCCAGTTAATACAACATTTGAATATTCAGAAATTATGACACAAAAATTCAGATCATATCCTTGTCATAATAGTGGTGCAGGACAGCTGATAAGACAAGTAAATACCATTCCTAAGTGTGGTATTTTTGTCCTCAGATGTCTTCTGGCCTGAAGCTATGTTGGGCTGTTTTCAAGTTGATTTTCTTACTGAATTATTCTGAAGAATTTTTAAGAGCCGTTGTTCCACTTGCTATTGATATGTATATTTATAACCTATTTTTAAGCATGGAAAACATTCAGTCCAAAGTCTTTTAAGTGCATGAGTATCACAAAAGGAAAGACTGTACTAGGGATCTGTGGCAGGTAGAATTTGAAGCTTTGCTTTTATGACACAGTTCTCCCTTTGTGCCTTGACTGTACAGTGTACGTCCAATACATGCATTGTAGTTACTGACTAATTGAGGAAGTTTCATTCCATCTTTTATTCTGTAACAGTAGTGCGTTGTGTTTGTGTACTTCTTTGACCCTTAGAAATAAAAAAATATAGGAACAGTAGGCCAAAATGCAACGCAGATCACAACCACTTCTGTATGTCTCTTGCCACCCTGGCCTCTCACATCCAACTTGCTGTTTTTGGTCTTTCCTCTTGTGTAGAATGGAATCACTCCTCTGCATGTGGCTTCAAAAAGAGGTAACACAAATATGGTGAAGCTCTTACTGGACTGGGGTGGTCAGATCGACGCCAAGACCAGGGTGAGTGTCTCTGCCCTTTGGTTTCCTACCTTATGACTGCTCTGTGCCCTCTTAGCAGGCCCCATGCAACAAACGCTAGTTAGTAAACACAGGCAGCATCTTTCCAAGGACATGGCTTTCTTGTGTTTGATTTAAGTCTCATATAATATGTGTAAGTTACGTATCATAAAGTAAAATTAGTGCTTGTTCATAAACACCCGGAAACAGAAAGTAGGACCTACACTGAGACAGTCATTCAAGTTGTAGCTTGTGGGGCTGGGAAGATAGCTCAGTTGAATAAGCACTTGCCTGGCAAGCATAAGGTCCTGAGTTCAATCCCTGGTACCGCAAAAAAAAAAAAAAAAGAAGTTTTAGCTTATTGGTTTTCTAGGAACAAAAAAACAAAGATTGGACTTGCACATCTGTCTTTTGGTTTGCTATAAATACAAAACCCCAAGTTTATCTGCTTATATTAGACTACAAGAATGTTACATGGTAAAAATATTTTACTTCTATTTGATTCCTAAGTCATTTTTCCTACAGGATTATGTATGTATTGACCTCAGTAGATTTGCTACTGTGCTTAGAGAAGAAGCAAGCCTTCACTTATGCCATCTTGGTGGATGTGGCTTCATTTGTTCATTTCAAACTCCTTAAGTAAAATATTGCTTTGAATTTTTGTGTATTGCCATTGAATAATATGATAAGCAAAAGAGTACAGTTGTTGAAAGTGAAGGTTCCAAAGGCTGCCTGATTTCAAATCCTTCTTCTATCGTTTTCTAAGCTGTGTGGTATTGACAGGTTACTTACATTCTCTGAATTTAGGCAAGTACAGTTATGTAAAAATTAACACAACTATATTACTTGCTTTTAAAAATGGAGTGAGAAATTATCTTGCTACTCATTATTTTTTAATATTTCCGACATATGCAGTTACTTGCTTTAAGCTGCAGCTAGTGTTTCAATATCAGGTCTCTGGAGAAGATTTGCTTAATCACAGACTTCAGCAAAACTTTAAGCAGTCTTGTAATCTAAAAATATTGGAATATGTGGTATAAAAAATCCACAGTTGATGTTAGGTAGAAGGTGCCCGCTTACAGTATTTTCTCTTTATTTAATTCTGGTATTTCATACTCTCATAGTTCAAGCAGAGAAGATCAGGTCTACACACTTCGCACATCTTGAGGCACACTGATGCGTTTGCTACACCTTTTCATCTTGAAGCATCTAGAATCTAAACTAGTTCTAGATTAAACTAATTCTAGTATTTGATGACCTCATTGCAGATTACATTTTAAACCTCATTTTTGTAAGCCTTTGGATCCAGAGTGGCTGTGGGAGTTTTCCCTGTCATGGAGGAATTCTGGATTGGTTTGCTGTATCTGTCAAGATCTTTGCTGCTGTGTCTAGTGTCTTTGTATCAGAGCCTGATGTGTTTTTTTTTTCCTTTGCCTTGCTGGCACGCCCCTTCCCTCGCTACGCTGTGGAGATACAGAATTTGGAGCAGAATACACAGTGCTTCAAGCTTTCCCTACCTCTTCTTTTCATTTAAAGGAAGGAATATCTGCTCATGGCTACATAACTTTTATCATTACTAGCATTAATAATATAATGTTACATTATTGACATGTATTACTGTTGTAGTCCCTTAATCAGATCTTTTTTTGTTTTTGTTTTTATGAATTTTTTAGTAATTGAGATTACCAGTGGAAAGACAGCACTTTATAAGTACAAAAGGGCTTTATTTCTTTTCTTGGCCAGTGCCTTAAAAATTCATATTTCTTATATTATTGTTTATTTGGAGTATTCATTCATTACTTAGATTGCTAATGGTCATTTCAATATTTCTTTAATTCTTTAAAAGATAGCCTAGTTTATATACATTTCATATTCAGTTAAAAGCTGGGGAGATAGCTCAGCTGTTCAAGTACCTGCCTGATAAGCACGAAGTCCTGAATTTGATCCCAGTACCAAAAAAGACCAATCATGAAATATTTGGTTAGAAGTCTTGACTCTATATAGGCAGTGTGTTTTCACCAAGAGTCCTAAGAAATGAAAAGAAATAGATTCCTGTGCTAGTTCTGCCATTTCTAAATTATCCTTGAGCAATTAGCAGTGAACACTAAGCACTGGAAGGGGAAAGTATTTGGATCACCTTTCATCCAGTGAAGCTCCATGTATAGCACAAAACTGAATTTCATTCAAGGATTAAAAAAAAATAGATTGTCTAATTTATGGGGACATTCTGTTCTTTTGCTGTTTTAGCAGGTAGTTATTCAGTTCTGACTTGGAGCATGAATCCTGGCATACAGTGGTTATCAAGGCAGGGTAGATTTCTGCATTCACAGCAGTTTGACTTAATAGTCCTCAAGAGATTAGGCGGGCAGTGTGCTGCTAAAGGTGGATTAATGAATTTTCACGAAAACAAGACAGAACCAAAAAGTGTTGATTTGTAGCTTTTTGCCTTTGACAATTTCCATGGTATAAATATTTCCACTATGGACAATTTATTTATTTGTCCACTGTGGTCAATTTAGACCCACCAACATGGTATCACTAAATGCAGACTTGGGAAGAGACGCCCCAGACCAGCTCTCTGTAGTTTGTATAAGCAAACTGTAGGATACATGCCAGGTCAGGCCCAGCATTGAATGATGCAGAGCATTCCCCCAGCAGTGAAAGGACTTGTCTTGGAGCAGTAGGATTCTAAAAGCACTGTCTGATTCTTTTCATTCTTGCTGTAGCCAGCAAAGCTATATCCCTATGCCAAAGGCAAAATCATGTTAGAGGTGAATACTAAAATCAACCATGGTCTGGCACTAAGAGACTAATTCTCGGGTAACAGTAAGTGATTACTAAAGTAATGAGATAAAATTTAGTTTTCTCTTATCTTTTAAAATGTATTTAAAAACAGAAAAATGTTTAATGTGTTTTGACTTCATTTTGGCCAATATAGTAGACCTCCTACATTGAGAATTTTTAAAGTAAAATAAATATTATTATCCTTTGTTTTGCTGTAGCCTTATCAATTTCCTCCAGCAGTCAAGTGACCCACAGATATGGTACTCTGAATGTAGAATATCTGACCAAGAATTTTGACTTGAGCTGTCATTATTTTTCTCTTTTATGAGATGATTATTATCTAGAGAAAGGAAGGTCTATAGACGCCTTTGGGTAATTAAAAATCAAATCTGACCCAGCGCTTCTCCCCAACTCTCATCACTTTTCTGGTAATCACTGAGATAGTTTGCTCTCACTGGCGTTCTCACTGAGATTATGATCTAAAAGTTTTAGATTTTACCCAGAGCTCTTTGCTTGTGTCTAAAAACTTCATTTTAACCTTAAAGCAAAAATTTTGTAGCTAGTTAAGATGAAGTTATTAATGTGGGCTTTATTAAGGGCATTATTCTTTCTTGCTTTTAAACTTATTATTTAAATGTGCAGACACACCATAGGAGGATTATGTTTAGTATATTGCAATGCAAATTAAATGTGAACAATAAGAACACAGAAAAACATTAAAGGCTGGCAAACAAAAACAATATACCAGAAAGAGAGAGCACCCTTGCTGCTTGTTATTACATGTAATAAAGTAATAACAATAAACAGCTACCAATTGTCAAATTCATATGCTTTCTGTGCACCCTGCTAAGTATTCTAGAAATATTTCATTTCATCCTTAATGACTTTTACAGTATATGTTATTTTTTTATTGAGAAATATGGATGTCTTCATTTGAGAAATGAAATTACCAAAAGGGTAAATGAATTTCCCCTTAGTAATAGAGCATGACCTAGACACACAGCTTAGTTATTATCTTTTTATGCTAATAACAGAACTTCAGGTTCTGTTTCTTAGAATAATGCCCTAAACAGAGAAAGAGGAAAAGAAAATATAAGCAAAGAAATGGTTCTAAAAACTTCATGTTGTGGGTTATCAGCTGGATAAGTAATGTTCCTCTAATGTTGATTGATTATACTTTGGTGTAAATGAGCTGATTCTAGTAATGAAACAGAAGCAGCACTAAGAATGGGCTGTGGAGGGAGGGAATTGGAATTTTCAGATGCAGGCTTAAGAATTTGAGTGAAAGGGTCCTGCAACTTCAGTGAAATATCCAAACAAGATTTTTTTTTTAAGCATTAACTTGATACTGTACTTTATAGGAAAGATCCCAATTCTACTCAGATTGAGCAGGCTGGGCCACTTGAGTTTGGTCTCATCATTCACATATCCTTCAAAAGGGCAGTTGCAGTCACATCATTAAATGTAAGATTTAGAACTCATCTAATTCCCATCATTCTTTTATGTATATTAAATATTCCCCAGAAAAGTACTTTGGGGTTTTCAGGGATCACACAGCGAATGTTTCATCTAATCCATAGAAAATGATGGGCTACCTTTCCTGTTTTTTTTTTTTGTTTTTGGCACCAGGGATTGAACTCAGGGCCCTGCGCTTACTAGTCAAGGGCTACCTTTTCTAAAAATGACGTAAGGCAGTATGCCCTCCCTCACCATTCATATAAGGCTACAAGTTAACCATTAGAAGAAAAATCACCCCCAGTTTGATGCATCTTGAAGCTTAACCTTGAGGAGGTTGGCCCTTCATCCTGCCCTGCAGTGATATCCCCAGGGTCTTGTGGTTCCAGAGGCTGACTCTGAACCATTGCCTGGAGCAGTGCCATTTCCTGGCATTGCCCAAACTCAAGATATCAACAAGGCTCCACTAAGACTGTGCTTGAGAAACCACTATACTGAATTGTTATATCTTTGTTTTTTTAGGGTCTACAGGGGGTGTTCAGGGTCTCACTACTAGATCGGGCTCATAGTGATCCGCCTGTTTACAGCCTCCCAAGAGCTGGGATTACAGGTGTGTGCCACCATGCCCAGTCTCAATTGCCATCTCAGCATGCCCCAGGGGCAGGCCAGGGGCAGCACAGCAGGCCTGGGGATTGAACCCTAGGCCCCTGCATCTGCTTGTAGGTGCTTTAATCCTCTGAGCTATTTGGCGAGCCCTTGAATTGTTATATCTTACACAGCAAGAACTGCTCTGTATTATCCCCTGGGTGTTATATGATATGAAGGCTGGGGAGATAGCTCAGTGACATAGGCCTGGCAAGTTGCAAGGTCCTGAGTTCCATCCCTGGGTAACAAAACAAAAACAAGATATGAAAGCAGAATTATTTTAACCATTTTGCTAGCACACTTTCTTTTTCAGATTCCTGTATGGTAAATTTTTAAACTTACTGTGGTATCTCAACCACAGTAGCTAAGTAGTTGTTTTTCTGGAAATCTGGTCTTTTTTTTTTTTTTTTTTTAATGTATTTGGTACAGGGTTTCACTACACAATTTGGACTCCTAGTGATCCTCCTGTTTTCAGCCTCCCCAGTGTTGGCATTACAGGCCTGAGCCACCCTGCCTGGATTCGGTGGCCAGCTCAGCACACCTGGTGGTGGGGCTGGTGCGGCATGTGGTGCTGGGGATGAAACCCTGGTCCCTCAGCTTGTCTAAGCAAGTGCTTAGTCTGCTAAGGTATCTCTCCCACCCTGGAAATCCAGTCTTATGCTAATTCTTAGATACCTTAAACTACAAGATCTATTTTAGTTATGCAGCGCTCACTTCAACAGCACAGATACTATTTTAGTTATTCAATAACTTCATATTTGCTCAATAGATACAATAAAGAGCCATTATCAGGCAAGGTCCGAGGCATAAAACAGATGGCACACTCAAATTTGATAAGGCTTTGATAATTTTATATTGTTCTAAAATTATTTATAATTTTGTGTTTATAATTATTATAATTTATAAATATAATTTGTTAGTCTTAAATTATAATATTGTTGAGGGGTCTGTAGAGAAGGCACAAAAATAGTGCACATCTTTTGGGCTTGTAACTGCAGGGCTCAATACCACTCAAGCAGGAAAGCAGTGTAGCAGAAGAGGCTCTGTGTGATTGAAATAATCTCACAGAAAGGTCACGTTGGTGCTGTTTGGTACAGACATGCCACCAAGTTAGGGAGAGCCCTCTGTGGGTTCCTTCCAGGTCTTGCTGCTTTTCCTGTTGGCCAAACCCAACCAGAGATCCCTAGCACCGAGGGCCCTGAATGTTGTACCAGAAAGAATGTTATAGCCTGGAGGAATTCTTTTTGTTAGAACGAAGGTGTAAGCTGGAAAGATAGCCTTGGAAGCAAAGCCACAAAAGATGGGCTGGAGTTCTCAGTAAGTCAGGAGCTTCCAAAATCTTAACTATTCAATGTACTTTGTTTTCCTTGATTCCTACCTACCCTCTCCATCTCTTTCAGTGAGATAATCTTTACCTCAGGCACCAGATTCACTGACATATTCAGGCTATCATTTTTCTCTGTTTTTTACAAATATTTTCCTCATATTTCACACCCACTCTGCTTTTTGGGCTCTCTCAACCTAGAAGGAAATAAAATAAGGAAGATGAGAGCACTTGGGGTCACTGTGAAGTCAGAACCTGTCCTGCAGTACTAAGGTCAGGCAATTCGTAAGTAGCATAACATATGGCAGTGCTGCATTTTGCTGGACAGTTTAACGTTATTTATCAGTAATAAACTTTATTTTTGGAAAATAATTCCATGATTCGTAAATGTTGAAGTGTATGTTGGAAACACTCCAGCTTGGGCTACACAGTGTGAGTACAAGGCCAGTGTGAGACACATCTCAAAAAACCCCAAGACAACAAAAAAGAAACTAAACAAAAAAAGGGGATACAGATGAATGTCCATTTTGTATCTGTGTATTCAAAATGGTTAGGATAGATATACAGTTACATTCTCTTAATGAATAGAGGGATTTGTTCTAATAGTGTTTGTAAATAGGATATCATGTCCACATCTTGTACAGCAATTAACCACTAGGAAGAATGTATGCAATGTGTTAATTATTGAAACTGTCCTACCAATTTGGTTTGAAACTGTCTCATTGCTATTTGCTTCTCAATAAAATTATGGGGGAAAAAAAAGAAATACATGCTAGAATCCTTACAGAATCTGAAAAACAAAATTGTTCTTTTTTTTTTTTTTCAACCGTTACGATATATTTTAGGAGAATTTATTAAAGTAGTGACTGCTGAAGGAAGTATCTATGTGACTGAGTTAGAGTAGAAAGAATTTTTAGGTAAAGGCTGTGTTGGGGCAACCGAACTGAAAGCAGTAGACCGAGTGTAATTTTTGGTTGTGGCTCCCCATGAGAAGGGCTTGAAAGTTCAACCAATGCAATGCTGCTCTTCCTTCTCTTTGGACGTGCAAGTCAGTTTCACTCTGCTAACCTTTCATGCAGGGACTCTCTCTGTCTCCTTGCTTCTGTTTTGCTTATTTTTCTCTGTCAGGATCTCTTTCTGTTCATTTTCACTTTCACTCGTCATTTATATAGTTGCTGTTCTGTTACTGCCCTTCAGGGTCGTCAGGGCCAAACTTAGGAGACCAACTTTAAAACACGTGGCATATGTCTTGTGACATATCAGGCATTCATCTGAAGGCATGTGCGTAGCGCGTCTTACCCATTTTGTCTCCTTCCCCTTCTTGCCTTCCTCTCTCCCAGAGCCACGCCCCCCATTGCAGTCTCAATATTTACAGTCTCGGTTTAAAAACAAAACTCAACATGTGTGAAGCCTAATGCTGTCATTCTTTCGGCAGGATGGGTTGACGCCCCTTCACTGTGCTGCACGAAGCGGGCATGACCAGGTGGTGGAGCTTCTCCTGGAACGGGGTGCCCCCCTATTGGCGCGGACTAAGGTGGGTGCCGCTGGGAGCCAAGCTTTAACTCTGAAGCATTTTATACTCACTCAATATTTGTGTGCTAGGAATAAGAATAAACCAATATAAATCAAGCCATTTTAAAAGTATTAAAATGAACAGTTATAGCAAATTAAGATGTGTTGAATGCATACCTTCAGGTTCTTCCAATATTTTTTCCTGCTATTTTTACTTCAGATGAAAACCTGAAAAAATATAGGTATTATAATGTATATATGAATATTTATTAGATTCTAGGAGTCTAGATTTTTCTAAGTATAAAACATATAAAATTTTTCTTTTAAAGTAGCACACTTAGTTTTTATAAAGCAGGAATCTTTTAGTTTAGTCTTTATCTCTCAGGCAGTACTTGTCAAAATGCCTAATTCCAGTATGGATTCATTACTTGACAGTGGTTGATTACATTTGGGATTAGTAGAGTTGGTATGGAAAGCATAAGTGAAGATTGACCACTTACTATTATATACTTCAAATATGTATTAATAAAAGTAAAAATAGAAAAAAAAAAGATTGACCACTTGCAAGTACCATTAAGCTAGCGTATTGTTCTTTATGCTATAATATAGCTAGCATTTTACCTCCTTTAATTACTATGCTCAAGCATAAAGGAAAACCTTTGCCAGATAGATAGCAACCACATGACATGGTCAGCTGGCTTGTTGGAAGCTATAATTATCCAGAGTAGTTTAGCAGCTTTATTACTATGTAGAGCCTCATTATCTGGTCTTTGCTTTACAGAAAATATCATGAAACACAAGTTGGTATTAACCACCTAGAGCTAGTTAATGAAATATGCAACAATTCATAGGTCTTTAAATACAATCAAAATTTAGAAAAGGGCATTTCTTATATTTTCTCCTTATTGCTCATGATTTTTAGATGTTGAAGTGTATGCTAGAAATGCTCCCATCCCTAAAAGGTATTGATATTAACCAATGAAGGTCAGCTGACACAAGCACATATTTTTAAATTTTATATTATTTACTCATTGGCTATTGAATCCAAGTCGCTTGAAAATGACCTGCTCACACATTTAAAATACATGAAGAATGAGCTAATTTTGACACAGGGTCCTCATCAGTCATGAAAAGGTAACTTCTAGTAAGAAATATATCAAGAGAAATTATCTGCATTATGGTCAACCTTACATCTATTCTGTGAATGTTGTTAAAAATCTGTTTTCAAAATGCAACATTTGGGGCCAGGGAGATAGCTCAGTAGAATAAGCGCTTCCCTGGCAAACACATGGGCCTGAGTTCAATCCCCGGTTCCACAAAAAAAAAAAAAAAAAAAAAAAAAAAATCAAAATACAACATTTTAGCACTGGGCATGGTGATGCATGCCTGTAATCCCAGAACTTGGTAGGCTGAGGCAGGAAGATTGCCATGAGATTGAGGCCAGCCTGGGCTACAAAGCAACACTTTGTCTTAAATAAAATAAAATAAGATATGATGCAATACTTTATGGTAGTAATGCAGAGGTAATTATGGAAATTTTTGTTGAAGAAACACAGAAATTTAAGTTTCTGTGTACAATTTTAGACCAATCATGATACAGCCAATAGAAAACATGTATCAAACTGAGGATAGGCAAATATGCTGTTCCACAAATCATCAAATTCCACATAGTGTCCCTGTGATGATTATATCATTAATGAAGATGATGAATTACCTAGGGGGTATTTTTGATTTTTTTTTCCTGTAAAATCAAGCCTCATTCAGATATAAAGACCGAGTATTAAGTATGCATGACTCCATAATCATATTCATTCATTCATGCATGCAGGCATCTAGGTGACATAGATTGAGAAGACACAGTGAGCCAAGCAGGATGGAGAGACTTTCAAGATGTATAAAAAATAATTCTACACTTTAGAAGTGTATGGGGCCAGGGAGATGGCTCAGTAGAATAAGCACTTCTCTGGCAAGTGCAAGGGTCTGAGTTCAATCCCCGGTTCCGCAAAAAAAAAAAAAAAAAAAAAAAAAAAAGTGTAGAATTTACTGGGCAAGCTACACCAAAGGTAGTTAGAAAGAACAGAGTTGTGGGCAGGAAGATGAACTAATTAGGGTGGAGTGAGATAGGACGACTAGCCGGGGAATGGAAGAGGTGCCTAGTACCAGACTGTTCACCCTCTGCCTCCATAGAAGCTTTGAATCCCCCATTATTTTCTTCCAAAGCAACTCTCACTCTTTCTTTGGAAGTTCAGGACTCAGTAAATTGAGTCTTCACCACTAACCATTTCACATTACCCATGGCTTTAGTGATCTGAATGAGAGTAGCAGGTTCTCCTCGCTGGCCTCTCAGTGTGCTAACCTCCTGCTCCCCCACCACTCCTTTCTGTATTTCAGCTCACTCTTCAGTGTGCTGGGACATTCAGTCCCAGATTTAGGGTCCCTTATTCCCCTGTGCCCTCACCACTGGCCAGTATGCATTCTCCATTCTTGCCGCTCTTTTTGCATATTCATGCTCACACCCTATGTTTTGCTTTGGTGAAATCCAGTTCACATTCGTGTGCCTGCATGTGGCTGTAGTGACACAGCTCACTTTACATTCGTAATTACTAACTTCACGTCAGCCCATGATGTGACCTGGCAGTCAAATTGTAATTTCCAAGTCTATTTGATCTTGCTCCTCAGCTGCCTAACAAATTCATACTTTATCTTTAAACTTGGTAGCCTTCTTTTCCTCACTTTCCACAATACCGAGCAAATCAAAGCAAAGGGATTTCCACAGATTCCCACTTTCATATCCATTCAGAGCTCATACAGTCTAAGTTCTGTCCTATTACAATCATCTGGCATGAATTTTACTCCTCCCTTCTCAAAGCCTTTTCCTTATTTGTCTTCTATGTAGTACGTTCTTCTGACTTTCCTTCTATAATTCTGCTCCCACTTTTCCATCTGCTCTATGAGTTCCTCCTTGTCTCTCAGGTCTCTGACTAAGAGAACTTCCACAACTCTCTGTCTGTCTTTATCTCTGTCTCCTTCTTTGTCTCTTTCTCCTTGTCTGTCTCTTTGTCGTCTCTGTCTCTGTCTGTCTGTCTGTCTGTCTCTCTCTCTCTCTCTCTCTCTCTCTCTCTCTCTCTCTCTCTCTCTCTCTCTCCCTCCCTCTCTCCATTCTTTCTATGAAATCTCGTGCATTTTCATCTTTAACTATGTGTATATTCTGGTGGTGGCACATAGTGCGTGTTTCTAGAAATCTACATGTTTATGTCAGCTCGCCGTTAATGTTTGGCGATCTACTGGGCATCTTAAATTTAGCAAATCCAAAACTAAGCATGTGATATTTTCCTTCACTTCTAAACCTAATTCCCCTAGACTCTTTCTTTTCTCAGTTGATGGCCTTCTCATCCTTTCAGTTTCCCAGACCAAATACTTCATATCTTGTTCCCATTCTTCCTCTCCTGTTGCCTCTTCCTTCGGAATGTATCATTAAGTCAGCAGCTTCACAACAGTCTTCCGAGCACCACTTTGATCTAGGTCACCATTGCATCTGGAAGAGGCCCAGAAGTGGCAAGAGGTTTCTAACTGGCCTGCCTTCTTTTGCCTCTAGCCTAGGCTGTTTTAACATGACAGCCAGGGTAATCCTGTTGCCCTAACCCTTTGAGGAACTCTTATCTCTCTCTGAGTAGAGTGCCAAGCACAGTTCTGACTCTCAAAGGCCCTAACCTCTCTGAGTTCCTCTCTTTATTCAGCCTCCTAATTTCTTTCCCTGAAGCCGCCTTCCTTCCTTCCTGTCCATGGATGTCTTTGGTGCCATGTGTGTCCCAGCCTGACTCGGTGCTTGCTTCTCTTCTGCCCCTCCTGCCCTTCCCCAGCCCTTCCCTCACACCGACTTTTGTCACATCATCACTTACTTTCTCAGGCATTTGTGGCCACCTTAGGCACATTGCATTCACAGACACAACCCCCTTGGACGTTGTGTGCTTTCATTTTCTTCTTAGCATTGATGACTTTCTATGATAATATGTATTTTTTTTTCTCTGCCCAAACATTATCAAGGCCTAAATGTGTAATAAATTAAAAACATTAGTGTATGTTTGTAACATATACTAGTTTCATTCATTTTGGGAAGTCCATGCATAATAAATTATATCTTAATAATTTTAGGTCCCTCTCCCCCGGCTCCTTTTCCCTCTTTAAAAGTCTACCTCCCTGCTTCCCACCATCTCTGTTTTTATTTTCCTTTATTTACACTTTGAGTTTTCATGAAAGAGAAATCACTTGGTATTTAACTTGCTGTGTGTGACCTATTGCACTTTTGCTCAGCATTATGGCCTCAAGACCTATTCGTTTCCCTGCAGCAACATCATCGCCCCTCCTTCGCAGAGATGCCATCTCATCAGCCCGCTTCTCTTTTCTGGGTTCATTCTATGGATTTCTAATCATGAATGCAGTAATCATGAATGAAAATTACTTCAGAAACAAAGAAAAATGTTATTTAAGTCATTTTAATTCTACCATCCACAAACTGCCACATAATGAAAGATAAACTTGAGTCATTTGTAGGAAACTGGATGCCTCTTGAGACCATTATGTTAAGTGAAATAAACCAGACACGCAAGCTAAATAACACATTTTTTTAAAATATAAGAACCCCAAAGTAGAAATAAAGAGTAAAATAAAATGTAGCTAATAGGAAAGAGGGAGATGAATCTTTCTCCAGTGGGAAGGGGGTCAGAGATGGAGCCAGGGAAAGGAAGAGGTGGGGGATGGAGGGAAGAGGAGAGACGAAAAGGGATGCAGGAGTTCAGATGCGTTCTGTGCGTGTGCCAGCACCTCACGGGGAGTGCAAGCGTGTGCACTGCAGACATGTGCTCATGATTTTTTTCAATATGTTTACTAGTTTTTTCTTACCATTGAACTCACCTTCCCTTTTGACAATATTGAACTGTGAGCTTTTTTCTGGCCTTTTATTCAGTACAACTTCTATGTCTTTGACTGTAATGATTACCAAACTGTATACTTGTCAATGATCATTTTTATAGAGACCATACTTGGTTGATTATTAAGAAAAAAACAATAATCCACTCTCTTGACTGAGTAAATGTTTTTTCTAATTCAGTTGATTTCCTAATTTTACATGTATTTCTTTGAAGTTTAGCCTTTGAGAAAGAGAGAGCAAGCGTTCCTTAGCCTGATGAAACCCCACACCCTGGCGGCTGCCTCGTGTTCCGTCTGTGGCGTGCCTTGTAGAATGAAGGGTGGAGCTGTCCGGAGCAGCGTCAGTAGTGATCAGTGTAGATTATCCCCACATGTAGAAGTTGTGAGGTCACTAACAAATGGTCCACCATAGCTTCACGCTCTTTTAGCTCTTTTGTCCCTCTTTCTAAGTCCATAGTTATTTGAAAGGGAGATCACAGAATTTCATGGATCAGCAATGATCAAATTTTACTTCTCTGTGTGATCTACATCCTTGCTCTTCCTTCACCCAACTTTCCTCTTTTCATAAGCACAGAAATATCAATAGAGAGATTAAGTGAATGTAGACTTCTGTATGTGGAATCAGATACAAATAATCTAAGCATTAGCTGTCACTTGTGTCTATATTGCTAATATTGCTCTAATAATCATAAAATCATCCTGACTTGCCACACATATTATTCATTAATGAAAAAACATATCAACTAATATAAGTTTACCTAAGAGATATATAATTATGAATATAAATTTTGTCATTGCATTTTTTTTTCCTCAATCTGCTTTTAATCCAATGAAACAGCTTTTTTCTGCCATGAATGGTATTAGAGATGGAAAATCGACTTTGCTGTGTTCTAGAATGTGAAAGGAATAATTTTAAAAAAGTGACATTATGGACTACTGGACTCTTTTAGAATGTTTTGCTGAGTTAACACACCTATAATATTCAAATAACAGAACTAAACAAAAAATGGGACACAGATGAATGTCCATTTTGTATCTGTGTATTCAAAATGGTTGGGATAGATATATAGTTATATTCTCTTAATGAATAGAGGGATTTGTTCTAATAGTGTTTGTAAATAGGATATCATGTCTGCATCTTGTACAGCAAATAACCACTAGGAAGAATTATGCAATGTGTTAATTATTGAAATTGTCCTACCAATTTGGTTTGAAACTGTCTCATCACTCTTTGTTTATCAATAAAATTACGAAAAAAAAGTGACATTGGTGTTGTTTTGTGCAGAACGGGTTGTCCCCGCTCCACATGGCTGCACAGGGGGATCACGTGGAATGTGTGAAACACTTGCTACAGCACAAGGCACCTGTTGATGATGTCACCCTAGACTATCTGACGGCCCTCCACGTTGCTGCACACTGTGGTCACTACCGCGTCACCAAACTCCTTCTGGACAAGAGAGCCAACCCAAACGCCAGAGCCCTGGTAAACCTGGCCTAATCCATTTAACTAAATACAGCCCCAAATGAGCAAATCCACAGGGATTGAGCAATGGCACCTACGCCAACAATGCAGAGTGACAGACACGCAGTTAATCTGGCCTTGTTTGTCACTTTTATGCACTTCCCATGAGGTAGGTTCCTTCCTACCTCATGCTTCCATTATTTGATATTAAATGACAGTGAGCAAGGGCAGATGCAAGAGAACACTGAAGTAACATTTCCAAAACCAGAGAGTTGTGGACAGATAGATGTAAAATGTGGACAGATGAGCTATTTATATGGAAAATAGAACATGAAAAACAGGAAGCTATAAAAATCACTTATATGTGAGATACAATAAGAATATAATTATGAAAATGTTGAATTATATTAATCTCTTTGGGGAAATAATAGATTTTTTTTTGGTACTGGGAATCGAACTCAAGATCTCACACTTGCCAGGCAGGCATCATGCAGCTGAGCTATATCCCCAGCACCAAAAATAGATTTTAAGATAATGACACCATTTGACTATGGAAGCTATGAAGTAGAACCTTGTGGACTGTCAAGATAGCTTAGCAGACTGTCTGCTTAGGCAAGCTCAGCGACCTGGGTTTGATCCCCAGTACCACATGCCCTACCAGTCCTGTCCCTGGCATGCTGAGCCAGCCAAGACCTGGCATGGTGGTGCACGCCTGTAATCCCAGCACTGGGGAGGCTGAAGACAGGAGGATCACTATCAGTCCAGTCTGTGTAGTGAGACACTGTACCAAATGCATTAAAAAAAAGAAAGAAAAGAACTAGAAGCTTGTGATAAGTTCACTTGGAGAGTTTCCTTACTGACCTGAATTCCCAACCATGGCTAATAGAAAAGTGATCCCTGCTGTATTATCTCTTTGGGAAGCATTTTGTAGAAATCATTCCAGGAATTGCTCAAGTAAAAACTGCAAGGCTGAGTTCCAGAGCAACTTTCTATGTCACCTGAAGTCTAATATCAAATAAATCTTCTTTATTCCACTTATATTCTAATAATAATCATTGGGAGTATTAGGCTTTGTACTAATTTATGCCACTTGTTTCCTACTTCTCAAGCTAGAAAGAAAATCTCCTCTCTTGTATCTTTACATGGTTTATGTTACTTAGAATTCTTTAATAAGTATGTGAAAAAGTATCACCGAAATCATCAAATATTTTTATGTGAAAATTTCCATTGCAATCCATTTTAATAATTATTTGAGACATGAATATACTAGGGTTATGGAAAAATATGTGATGATACTAATTTTTTCATGGGGAGTTGAATATATTAGTTTTAATTGGATAGTGGTTAATAAACATAAAATAGCACAATTTGAAAATTACAGCTATTTTAGATGCTCTGTGTCCATGTGGCTATTTATATCTGCTTATTATATAGCTTATAAATATTGGAAGTGGAGCATACTATGTTAATCACTCCACTCGGAGAAATGAATAATCATGAGCTTAAGTAAAACTATAAGCTTTTCTGAGAACTATAAACATATAAAAATATTGCCTAAGGGCTGGCCAAATAGCTCAGCAGATTAAAGCACCTGCAAGCAGGCTCAGGGGCCAGGGGTTTGATCCCTGGGCCTGCCATGCTGGCCCCTCCGCCCCAGGCATGCTGAGATGGCTACTGAGACTGGGCATGGTGGTGCATGACTGTAATCCCAGCACTTGGGAGGCTGTAAACAGGAGAATCACTACAAGTGTGGTCTAGTAGTGAGGCCCTGAATACACTGTAGACCCTTCCCTAAAATACAGAAAAAAAAATACATAAATAAAATTAAAAAATAAAAATATTGCCTAATTATCTGTCTTCATTGAGACATGCAAAATTGTTAATTGGCAGAATAGATATAACTCAATAAAGGATCATTAATTGAATAAAAAGTGACAAATATAACATACAATAATCAGGCATACAGCGTAATATTGACATAATTTCTTCAGTTCCTGGACATCCATTCTATTTACAAAGTTATAGAGTAACTTATAGAATTCTCCACCATCCTTTGATGTTCTCCCAGAAATTCTCCATGTGTTTCTCAAAATATTTGAGAAAATATTTCACTTCTTTATAAAAATGTATCTGATTGGGATATGTTATGAAATTTTCCATATAAAATTATATCTTTAGGATATAAATATCAGCATAAATGATGATTTCTCCTAATTTGAAACACTTCCATCTAAAGAAAATGATAGCAAAGCTAAAATCTTTGATAGAGGTGGCCATGTTCTTAGCTTTTGAAGATAGCTGGACAGTTCCTGTGCTCTGGAAGTGGCCTTTATCATACAGACTCAGGCTTCTTGTCAGTGTGTCTTCAGGTCATTTGACCAATCAGTGTACCCTCAAATGTCTCAGAGCTTCTGAAATCCAGTTGTCCCTCCACTTTTTATTCTCCAAAGAGTTGTCCTAGGTATTTACTTTCTCTGTTTTTCTTGGTAAGCACACAGAATTACACGCAGAAGCAAGATCAGCTCCCCAGGAACACACCAGTGCATTTCCCTGGAGTTCCAACACTGGCAGGGTTTGAAGAAGTGGTGACACGATGTGACAGTGTAACATGGTTGCCTGCAATGTGCCAGCATGGAGTTGTGTGAGAATCATTTCTGCATGTTTTTGACTAACTCGATTGTCTTTTGCACAGAATGGTTTTACTCCACTGCACATTGCCTGCAAGAAAAACCGCATCAAAGTCATGGAACTGCTGGTGAAATATGGGGCTTCAATCCAAGCTATCACAGAGGTAGAACACTGTTCAGCTCATCACAAAGCATTCATTCTCTTACTCCTTCCTCCCTTTCCTCTCACCAACCTTCTGTCCTCTTCACTCAAGTTTTATTTATCTGAAGAAGCCCCAAAGCTTCGCGGGTGCAGAGGAGTAAAACTGCTGTCGCTTTGTTTCGCAGTCTGGCCTCACACCAATACATGTGGCTGCCTTCATGGGCCACTTGAACATTGTCCTCCTTCTGCTGCAGAACGGAGCCTCTCCAGATGTCACTAACATTGTGAGTATGGCTGGGGTCAGAATAACCGCAGGGAGAGAATGCCTTGGAGCTGAGAGCGGTGTGTGCCAGCGTGTTGGCGTGTGTGTCTGTCATCGAAGCCAACCTCCCGGCTTTGAGCAGGACCCTCATGATAACATACCATGAAGTACTTGCTAGAACTTAACCCAAAAGAATTCACTAGGATAAGAAATGTATTAGGAATGAGAACAGAAGCTGTGCAGTGGGACAGTTTAATCTTCCTGGTATGGATGGTTAAACATGCATCTCAAATGCATTTATTACAACAAATACATTTTTAAAATTCCTTTGAACATGGATGGATGACTGGCTACAAAATATTTCAGGGCACCAGGTAAATTTCATTAAAATATCAAATTTTAAGTTCCATGACCAATCCTACCAAAGATGAAACAGAAGCAGGGTACAGAGAAATAAGCCTATAAGCCCAGCATATGGAAGACTGAGACAGAAAGATCATGAGACCAGCCTGGGCTGCACAGCAAGTTTAAAGCAACTTTAACACCAGCCCAGTTGTGGTGGTGCATGCTGTAATCCGTGCCCTCTGGGATGCTAAAGTAGAGCATCATAAGTCCTAGCCCAGCCTGGGCCACTTAGTGATTTAAGAAGACCTTGTTTCAAAATAAAATACAAAAGTGGGAATAAAGCTCAGTGTGAAGGTTCTGAGTTCAATCCCCAAGACCACAATGGCAAATTGAGACCCTACCTGAAAAATTCCAAGCAAGCAAACAAACAAAAATGATGAACCAGAGATTGGTCAGCATTAAGATTTTTACTTGCTCTCAGGTTCTTCCTCTTTTCAGTCACACAACATTGTCCACATCTAACCTTACTTTGATTTGTAATTTTGATTTGGTTTTGTTGGCTGTAGTGGAAGTGTCCTGGATGAAGCAGTTACACCATGCAAAATGAATGCTGGTCCCCAGACAATTTTCCTTCTGCTACTAAATTCTGGATTTCCCAGAATTCTTCTACTTAATTTATATTAGGATTTTTTTTTTTTTTTTTTTTTTTTTTTTTTTTTTTACTTCACATTTATATTTCCTTCATCTTCTTTGGTCATTGTGTCATGGCAAACCAGCTAGCATCAGTTCTCTCCTGGCCAACAGCGCTTCCTTATTCATGTGCAGGCAGGAATAAGAAGCTCAGGGACCACTGCAGTACCGAGATATTTAAAAACAGGAAACAGAAATAACTCTAAATAAATGTTAGTGTGTATTATTAACATGAATCACAGTTACAGAAGCAATGGATTGACCATTGCTGTTAATGTTTGGTATCTCGTTCTATTTAAATTCCTAATTTCATTTTTTATTTATATTTCCTCTCATGCTAGCTTTTCTGTGTATTTGGTACACTGCTAGAATTTCTGGTAACCCAGGGGGTCTGGGAGATGGCTCAGCAGACTAAGCACTTACCTGGTGAGTGCAAGGGCCTGAGCTCAATCCCCAGTTCTGCAAAAAAAAAAAAAAAAAAAAAAAAAAAAAGTCTAGAATTTCTGATAACCCAAGCAAAATGTATTGTAGAACTAAATTTATTTGATTTTAAATATTATTTAATAGTTTTTTATTCCACAATTAAGACATCAAATTATTAAAGAACTTACGGTCTATTTATGTGATCCTAGTTATAGCTTATTAGTCTTAAGGTATTATTATTTGCTAATCTGCTAATTGCACATGTGAGGGAATTTAGCTTTCTCTAAGTGGGGCAGCCCATGAACTATTCTGAGAACAGGAGGATATAGCTTCTGGACCCAAAGTCCATGCAAGGTGATCAAGAAGCTGTGTGAGCCTTCACTGCTTGCTGTGTCAGAATTGATCATTCCCTGACCCCACGTTACCCCACCCTTGGAGCCTTTGTGTGTTGGCTGAAATAATCGCATTTTTGAGTGTAAAGCTGTCTGTTGTGCTTTGATGCTTTCCAACTTGGTGCAGCCAAGTGGAAGTCTGTGTAGCTGTCTGCAGAGTCAGTTTTCACCACAGAGGGCCGGAGCATGACTTCGAATACCTGCTTTGGACATGAGCATACTTGTTCTCTGACCAGTCTTGCTTTTGTCTGAAAAGTCACCGCAAGTGTGAAGTGGATCAGTCCCTCAATCCTGTTCCCTTTCCAGAAAGTTTCCAAGACTTGGACTGCAGGTTACCATCCGCCCCTAATCCAAAGGATTCATTGACAGGCACGGGAGTAGGGAGGCAAGCCCTTTCAGGACAATGGAAAGTCCAGCGCAGGATGTCACTGTTTTCTCTCAGTGCTACAACAGGGCAGTAGATTTCTGATAGAGCTCACACTTTATGTTTAAAAATCTTCCCCAATAGTTAATTAACTCAAGATGAAGAAAACAAAGCTGTTAAGAAATGGAAATGATTGAGTAAGATAATGTTCTCTGCCTTTCATTTTCTAATGACACTCATGTATAAACAAGGGTAACATAAATAAAAAAGGACATTATTTAAAATAAAGGTCATCATTCCAGAGTTGTTTAATAAGAATTAAATAAGACCATTGTATAGTTGAGAGACCATATGTGCATGTATATGCAACTTTTCTTTGTTTAATACTTTAGACATTTATATCTAAAGGACTAATTTCAAAAGTGTAAAAATAATAAAGAATAATTTACCTTAAGTGTAGCGTAAAGATTTTTGAAATATCAATACTAGTACTCAAGACATTTTTAGATTTTGAAAATTCCCCATTGATAAAACTTGGCTAATGAATATGTGAATTCCCCATTCAGTAGGAACCCCTGGGGCTGTTTGTGTTCACTTCTCCTAAACAAATGTATTCCTACCTTTATTTCTCCCAGAATTAGTGAAACTGCTACATTTTATCAGACCCAGAAAGGAGGGTTTGAAGTGGTTTGACTTTAGTAGGTTTCTCCATTTGACACATTTCTAAGTGATACAGAAAATGAATTAGAAACCATGATCCAAAGAAAAATCTTGCAACATATGGAAAATCTGAAGACAAATATTTCTACTCCAAGAACTGATCATTTTGTAAGATAACATATTCCAGATACATTTACTCTACCAAAATGAAATGTGACAAACAGAGAATAAGGCCACTAGAGGCGTCTTCAGCAAGGATGAGGAGAGCAGATACGACATCCAGTGCTTCCACAGTCCCATCATTTGACAGCATTTTCTCGTAACTTCCAAGAGGATGGGTCTGAGTGGTGGGGAGATGATCTTGGATGTACTTTAAAGTTCATCATGAACCTTCTAGATTTAAGAGTTTATTATGCCAAGGAGAGGACTCCCGTTATTTGCGGGAGTTTTTGCAGAAAATCCAGTGCACACAACCAAACTTAAAATCACTTTTGTTGATTTGCAGTGGCCTAACTTATTGGTTAAAATCAGTCTTATATTCTCGAATCGCTACGCCAAGGCAGTCTGTAATGACTTTTACTGCAGTATGTCTTTCTAAGAGTAAAATCATTTGAATGAATGGAATCCCTCCTAGCCCCCCCCCCCGCACCCCCAGCTGTCATAACAGGCTTCCCAGGGAGCAGGTTCCCTTATGTCTGACCTTCATCTTTTAGTTTCCTTAGGGGTAGGTACTGTGTGGAGATGCTGAAGGGCTCCTGTGCTGCTCAGGGTCACTGACCTCAGTAGATGCCCTGGTTAACACTTACCTCACTGTCTCAGGAGCTCTCCCAAATCACTGTCTACCATCACATACGCTCATTAGCACTGTCTAGGTAAATCAGATCTCTTAAATGGACAATTATGACCTAATTTCACAACACAAAGACAAAACAGACATAAAATAATTGTTTAATTTTGAAGTAAAATTAAATTGTGGGAAGAAATTGATGTATGGCATAGGTGATGATGAATTTTGGGGATGTATTGACTTGAATCTTTGGCAATTGGAATTTCTCGTTGACACGGGATCAGTGACAGATTTTAGGTTTGTAGGATAAAAGCTAATCTCATTACTAAAACCAGTGTCAGTTTTGCTAGGTTAAGAAGTTAAACCACAGTCTATACTGGATCATTGGGTAAGTTTACTAAATTTTTCATGAACTGAAACAAATAAAAAATTTGCTTTTATTCTTTTAAAGATGGAGAAGATACAGAAACTGGTTTTTTATTTTCAAACTAAATAATTATGCCTTCTTGTAGATTTCTTAAATCCTTGGATATATTGCTGAATTTCACAGAAAGGACACCTTTGTTCTGTGCCTTCCTGAACACTGGGTTTATTGATGACGGGACAATCTTTGTTTCCCACAGCGTGGGGAGACGGCCCTGCACATGGCAGCCCGGGCAGGCCAAGTGGAAGTGGTCCGGTGCCTCCTGAGAAACGGTGCCCTTGTCGATGCCAGAGCCAGGGTAGGTGGTGGTGTTCCTCCAAGCTTCTCCCATAGTCCTACCTCTAAGAGGAGTTTATTCTTCAAGATCTTAGGGGCATGAGCAAAAACACCAAAAACAATGTCAGTTGTTCAAGCAAGAAAGAGAAAATTCATGAGTATATACAATGAAAATAGCACCCCAATTCAAAAGCATTTGAAGATATGTGCAGTTTAGCAGCTAAGAATACAGCATTGACTTAGATTTTAATAATTTTTAACCTAAAAAAGTACTTTCACATATCTCTTCATTTTAAGTTTCTCTGCATTATAAAATGCTGTGCATATTGAAATGTATTTCTAAGCACTAAAACTATATTTTCACATTTGTTCCTTATAACTTTCTTTCTTTTTTTTTGGTGGTACCAGGGATTGAACTCTGGACCTTGTGCTTGCCAGGCAAGCACTTATTCTACTGAGCTATCTCCCTGGCCCTCTTTTCTTTATAAGTTTCTTAAGAGGAAATTATCCTCAAAGTTTGAATGCCTTCACTTTTTTTTTGTAATAAGGCCAACTTTTCTTTTTATTGTAAGTTTTACATAGTAGATATTTTGCCTTTCTATTGTTCTAAAGTAGAATTTTGATGCTGTAGATTATTTGATCAGATAGGTCTTTTTAATAATCACTTCTGGTTTTCTTTCTTTTCTTTTATTTCTGAATTTTACTTCGCATTCTCTTTACTCTCTGAATGTATCAGCGATGTCTCTAAGTGTCCTCTATCTTTCTTGTTCCACATTGTCCCATTAACGTTTGTGCTTCCATTGTTGGGATTATTGTGGACTATTTAAGTACTTTCTCTCCTTCTCCAACACTTGGTAACTCTCTCCAGCCTGTCACACCATCGTGGCCCCACTAGAGAAACAGGGTTGTATGAGAGACAATCTGGAGTCATAAAAATGGCTAGTATTTTAGGGAAGTCCTTGCATTTCTCTATCTTCATAATTGAATTTGGGGTTGATATAGACACCTCAGAATTCCTTTCTCAACACTCTTAACATCTTTAGACTCCCTGAATTTAATAGGCATTTTCTACTAAGGATCATCGTGCTGCAGTCTTGCTAGGACATTGGTTGTTTTAGCTCTCATGTGACTTCCCATCTGTGTTAAGTGAAGTCATTACTATTCTTAGGTCATCTTCATAGATGTATTATACTTTTATATATTTAGATTTTTTATTATTTAGCTATATTTTCCACTGCCATGGCATTTTTCTTGTTCCCTTTTAAGAGGATTTGACATTCTGCTACTTAAAAAAAATACTTTATGATCAACCAATGTATTTTTTAAAAAATGAATTTAGGACAGGGTCTATAGGGTGTACAGGGTCTCACTACATAAATCAGACTCTTAGTGATTCTCCTTTTTTCAGCCTCCCAAGCGCTGGGATTACAGGTGTGTGCCACCACACCCAGTCTTAATCCCTGTCTCAGCATGCTCCTTGGGTGGGGCCAACAAGACACACCAGGGATCAAACCCTGGCCTCTGCGCTCTGCCTAAGCAGGTGCTTTAGACTGCTAAGCTATCTGGCTGGCCTCAACCAATGCATTCTGAGTATCATGAACAGTGTTATTTTTGCCAGACATTGTAGTTAATGTTTCTGGTAATTTTTTGTAACGTATATTTAATAATAAAAAAGATAAAAAAAATAAAAGAGGTACCATTTTTTTCTCTTAAAAGTCCTTCATATTTGTCTAATTTTCAAATTTAACTTATCCTATTTCAATAGAAATTTATTCCTTTTTCATGTATTTACGCTACTTTTTTCTAAATTGATTTAACCTATATTAGCCTTATACCTTTTTAGACACCATGTAAAACTTTCCTTATAAACACTAGTTAGCGTCTCTCTAAAATGCTGTGACATTCACTCATTTATGTTTTTATTTAACATACAGGGTCTTTGAATTTTATTTTCCAACTTCTGTTTGGCAATTCCATTTAGTCTCATAGTCTATATATATAAACATAGTTCTTTTCATCCTTTCTAATTTAAATATTAAGTTTTATATGTTATCCTGTAATTATTTTAGTTCTACCACCTACCCCAAGAAATCCCTTTTATATAACATCCTGTTCCAAACAGGAAGAATACCACACCTTAGAGAGCAGTGCTTTCCAAAGTCAATGTGTAACCCCCACCGAGGTGTCCTGCTATTGGAACTCTGTAGCTAAGCAAAGTTTTGAAGATAAGTTTCAAGTGAGTGTAAGCTGAAGGCTCATGGTTGCTCAGTTCCTGAAGCACGGCCTGGGCCCCATCATTGTGCCAATAGCAAAAGCTCCTAAAACAGAAGGGATCCTGCCTGGGTGGCCCTAGTGACCCTGTCAGTTATGCCCACTGGGGACATGGACAAGAAAGGCCTTCCTCAGAGCAGAACCTGCAGCAAACACATTGTTTCTAAGTCACAGATGGCATCCGTGCTCCCAGTCCCAGGAGGAGACAGCCCAGAGCTAGGGCTTTCCTTTCTCATGTTCAGTTTAAGGTGTATCTGTGCAGGAGCTTTTGATTGTCATTTAACTTGTAGATGTCCCCCTGAAACTCACTGACTTTGGCTTTGTGCAGTGCTGTATAGTTCATGAAGCATCTGAACACAAATTGTATCTGATACACAAAGCTGTGCTGTATTGCAGTGTGGTAGTTTAGGCTCCCCAAATTCAAGATTGTGCTGACTGAGTGGTGGAGAGAAAGTTAAAATAAAAAAGAGGAATTTTCCCATAGTCCTGTGTTTTTCTCTTCACTCTCTCTGCTCAGAGACAGTGATTCGGTGATTCATGGTAAAGCAGCAGAAGAGCCTGGATCTGCTTCTCCTGACAGGCCATTTCAAATGTAAAAAGTGCCCTTATCTCATTCAAGCAAGTGGCTGGTTTCTAATTGCTCGCATTCCATCCCTGAGCAGCTGACTATGACTAGGATTTAGATCAGGCTTAGACCCATGCCCATTGATGCGTTCTAGAAGTCTCCCCTTTTAAAGTGGAAATATTAAAGCTTGTGTCTGGTTATTACACTGAGCGAATAGTCAAGATCTCAATACTTCGCAGTTCTTCTCAAATGAATTTTGAAGTAATATACCATGGGTATAATAACCAAGAGCTAAATCATACTTTTTGCCTACTTCCAATATATAACAAAAAGAAACCCTATAATCATAGTATTATTTCTAATTTTAAAAGCATAAGCTCTTCTCAGGGTGTGGGGCTTATTTTTCTGGGCAGACAGACTGGAGCACCAAGGCTATAGTAGCATGAGCTCCTTGGTCACCAGGTAATGTGTTTGCCCCAGGCTGTGCTCTGAGGAAGGTCCTTCTTGTCCATGTCCCCAGTGGGCACAACTGACAGGGCCACCAGGGCTTCCCAGGTAGGATCCCTTCTGTTTTAGGAGCTTTTTGCTGATGCGCCTTCAACTGAAATGATGGGGCCCGGGCTGGGCTTCAGAACCTGAGCAACCATAAGGTCCTTCAGCTTAAATGCGCTTGATACATATCTCATCAAAACTTTGCTTAGCTGCAGTGGACTTTGTTCCTGAGAAACCTGTGAGCTAGTAACTTGGAACAAAACATTTGAGCCTTTCCTAGCCACTATTCCTTCTGTCCATTCATAAAAGACATTGGGGCCCTGCCTGTCTTCTGAGTTTGTCACCTTGGAATAAAGTAACAAATCAGGTTGTGTGGAAAAGTAGAGCTCACTTCTTTCTGGTCAACAACACATTGTGATGAAGAGATTTTCTTTTGATACAGGGGATAAAACTCAGGACCTTGCTTTTGCCAGCAGGTGTTTATGCCGCTGAGCTGTCTCCTGGCCCTGATAAAGGGATTTTTATCTCACATGTTTGGAAGAGGCTTAGGGGAGCAGACTCCTTGCATGCACACACCCTGGCTTTCCCTTTTCCCATGAGTCTTCTGCACTCTCCCTACTTTTTTGACTTGTATTCTGTTAACTTTAGCAAATTCAACTTTTGCAATTCCATTGGGAAAGAAAAGTCCAAACATTTTTTTCCATAATTTCATTGAGAAACAAATAGCAATGAGACAGTTTCAAACCAAATTGGTAGGACAGTTTCAATAATTAACACATTGCATACATTCTTCCTAGTGGTTAATTGCTGTACAAGATGCAGACATGACATCCTATGTATAAGCACTATTAGAACAAATCCCTCTATTTATTAAGAGAATGTAACTATATATCTATCCTAACCATTTTGAATACATAGATACAGAATGGACATTCATCCGTATCCCCCCTTTTTTTTGTTAAGTTCCCTTATTTGAATATTATAGGTGTGTAAGCTCAGCAACATATTCTAAAAGAGTCCAGTGGTCCATAATAGTATTGGGTCTTCCGCTTGACTGGTAATGTCAGAAATTGTTGACCTGAGTCCCTACAGCTCAACACAACACCATGGCTTTACTTCTTATATTTTATTTTTATACTTTTCTGCTGGATGGTTAAGACCAAGGTAAAGCAGGACTATGGAACAAGAGTTGTAGCTTTTGGGTTTGATAAGGTCAGTGAAATCCCCTCAGGATTAATCCTGAGATGCTGTGCCTCAGATTGTAGATCCTTTGTCAGTGTCAGCCATGTGGATGAATCATGGCCATTGCTTGGCCAATGTGCTCTCTGTGAAAGCCTGAGAGAATGTTTTCTCTCCATGTGACTCTCCTTAGGCACACTCTACATCATCGATCACTTTCCTCTTTGGCCCCATAATCTTCTTGATCAGAAAATTTGGGACACTACTGAGTTACATGACTTTACAGTACAAGTTCTCATATGTCCTGAGTCTTAATTGACCTTGGAAGGCTAGGGCCAAAATGTTGGGAAAAGCCCAAACATTAAAAATGCTTATATCCCAGGTTATGGGTTAAAGATTTTCTTAACCAAATCTTTATGTTCTTTTCTACTTTTAGGTGGGACTATACCAAAAGTTATAAAAAGTGGGTGAGACAGCTTATTTCTTTACTTACAGGAGGAAAGTATTTTAATGCTTTGGGTGTCTGAGAACCACAAGAATGCTTGGCAGATCCTTTAACTAGGTTCAGTAGCTACCACCAGCTGGGATTATTGCTTCTCCTTTATGTGTTCAAGGGCCTCACCTCCCATGAGAAACACAGTTTTAGGCCATGTTACATTTTCCATCCACCTCTATCAGGTTCTGTAGAACTGAAGTCTGAGAAATGAAACCTAGTAGTGTGAGATGTTCACTAAGCTTCTTTCAAGTTCTTTGATTTTTGATAGATGTTGCTTGTTATTTTTACACATGTTCATTGTCTCCGTTCCTATTGAGAGTCACTTGGCCCTGTTCATTTTCCTCAGAGCTGTCTTACCATACTATTTCTGTAGCGTATATAGGCAAAAAAAAATATTGTCTTTTGAACCCAGCCCCAGAATTCAAGCCCCGTTTTAATAGCTTAATGGCCTTGGAAAATTCTTTAAAACTTAGTAAATTTCTCTTACTCTATTTGGAAAATAGTCTAATCATGCATTTCCTTACTCCTTTCAGGTCTTTTTTTTTCGGGTAAGTTACATTATTATAAATAATGGAAATTTATAAACTGCAACTTTTAATAAAACTCCAATTCTCTTAATGAAATAATTATATTATTATTACTTTTCACCACCTGGAATTTCATGAAGTACTGTTTTTCTCTTTCTATAGCTATTTCCTTTTTTTTTCCTTGTAGCTTAAAGTAGTACATTTATTTGGACTGATAAATTTTATTTTTTCTTCCCCACTCATTCTTAGCCCTAGAAATGGGCCCTGCTTTTGCTTCCTTACTTTTATTGTGATATACCCTTGGGCAGATGCTAAGATGCACCTCCTTTGATCACTAGGGCTACACTCAATTTGCTTTTTACAAGAGGTGATGGTTGGCTCGGTTCTCAACCCTGCAAGCGCTGTTCTTAGGTACACGTTAGACTTGGGTGATTCCTTCAGCCTCCTCAAACATGTCCTTCATGTCCCTTCTGCATAGCTATATTCTCTTTTTTTATACTCAGAACTCTTGGCAAAAAGTTCATACCATTTGCTTCTTGCCAGAGTTTCTTCTCATATTTGAAGTCTGGGAGGTAAGTCTCAGGCCTATCTGCAATACCTCCTGGAATAGCATCATTAAAAACCAATCTACAGTATCTCCTTTATCAATGGCTTTTCTTTGAAGAAAATGATCAATATTTGTATCCTTGGCTGGCTGAGCAGAGTTAAGAACAAAGTTTTACAGCTTCCCTTTTCTCTTGGTACAGTTCCCAGAATAAATCTTGCCTTTAAGTGAAATCTTTTGAGGAAGAATCTAGGTCGTAGGACTCCTGGACTGAATTTCTTTCTTCCTGAAAGACACGAGTTAGTTTATATCTAAACATAAGTGAATGCTGAAGTGCTAATGAGTTGAACAGTGTTTTGGGCTTCCAAGAAAACGAGGATGAAGTTCATGAAAGTACTACTGTGCAAAAATCAAGGGGTAATTTTGTGATCAAATAAGTCATCTATATAGCAAAATATAAATGAAGCCTTCATCAAAGGTGTAACAATTTACTTTTGAGTAAAGAGCTGTAGAGATTCCATAAGGAAGGCAGTGGAGAAGATGGCTGTGAATCATATGAGCTTCTCATCCTGTCGGTGAAGTCTGGTCCGCCTGGCACTAACTCTTGACTTGACTTGAGTTGTAGGAGGAACAGACACCTTTACATATTGCCTCCCGCTTGGGTAAGACAGAAATTGTCCAGCTGCTTCTACAGCACATGGCTCATCCGGACGCAGCCACCACCAACGGCTACACGCCCTTGCACATCTCTGCCCGGGAAGGCCAGGTGGACGTGGCATCGGTGCTCTTGGAAGCAGGCGCGGCGCACTCCTTAGCTACCAAGGTGAGGAGAAGGACTTGGCAAGGGCGTGGGCCAAGAGGGTGCCTGCGTTGGGGCCCCGTGCTCCACTGCACAAAGTATCAAGAAGGATCAATCGCTGACTGACTTTTTTCTGACTATTTTAGATTCATTTTCTAAATGATCAAAAAGGGACTATGAAAATTTATGTAATATCATCAAAAAAAGATGCTGGATTTTAGTCTTTTACTAAATAACAGTGGGTGGGTGGGCTGCCCGTTAGCTCAGTTCTTTAAGTGACTGCTTCAAGAAAGCAGTCAGGCTCAGGTTGTTGTGTTTCGATCCCCACAACTCAAGCCAGCCAACCTTGCTCTGAAGGCATTTGGAGGAAAAAAAAAATCCTTCTGCCTAAATAACAGTGTAGGGTGTTTTGTTTTGCTTTGTTTTAGTACCAGTATCCAGGATTTTAACTAATATATTCCCATAAAGCATGTTCCACATGTTCTTCCCTTTCTACCATAAAATCTATAATGCTTTCACTCTCAAAAGAAAACAGATTTTCAAGTGCAATGAACTGGTATTGTTAATGAGAAAGAAAATATCACATTACATTGACAGTGCTATGTTGGGTCATTGTGCTGTGCAGAAACTGGCTTTACTTAATCTTCTGCTTCCCAGGCTTAGTGTCAGCCCACTCCAACATGATATCCCATTTTTTTCTGATCTCCTGTCATTTCCAAGTACACTTCTGCCTACACGGAGCTGAACTGCAGAGTGGCACTTCTTAAGTTGTTATTGGTGTCAAAAGAGGTCTATATTACTACCTAAATTTTACTTATTTCCAGTTGTGCTGTAGGGAAGGGCAGTTCTTCATCTTCATTTTCATAGACTTTATCTGAAATTGAGTATTTGGAGGTGACTTGGGATAAAATGTGACCACCATCAGCGGCTCATTGGAGCAAAAGGAATGAACTAGTGCAGAAGAACAGGAAAAGGTAGCAAATAAAATTCTAAAACAAGGGATTCTGCCACTGGGCAAAGTAATTCTGCAAATTTAGTGGTGATTCACATTAATTAAAAGACACTTTAAATTTGTTCACAACACATGGGTATAAACACTGCATCCAAGCAGGGCAGAACTTTAGAGGTGTGGAGTGAGTGGTGTAGGGACCTGCCACTAACTGCTCTTTAGGTTTAGTGGTTGCCTGTGGCTAGAAAACATTTCTTCTTGACATAAGAAATGGATAATTATTCAAATTCTGACATCTGAAAAGTTGAACAGGTTTTTGATGATTCTTTAAAAGTAAGCTAAAACAAATCCAGTAACTAAGCAACAAAATAGAACAGTAATAAGAACACAAGAGAGGCTTGGTAATTGTCCTAACAGGTGAAGGTATAAACAGATAAAATTAAGATATAAAAATGTGGACATAGGAATAGTTCATTCCTTCTCTTTCAAATAGTTTTTGATTTAAAAATATAGTAAGTCCATAGTAAATTAGAGCAGTAAAATATAAGAAACTACATAACAGGGGCCTGGGAGATGGCTCAGTGGAGTAAGTGCTTCCTTGGCAAGTGCAAGGGGCTGAGTTCAGTCCCTGGTTCCACAAAAAAAAAAAAAAAAAAAAAAAAAAGAAAGAAAGAAAAAAAGAAACTACATAACAGTAGTTTTAACAGTATAACCAACTAGAGCCAAACGGTAAGTCACTTAAACCAAAACCTGTTGAAGTGCTTATAAATGTCAGCGAGTTAGGCAACATCCCAATGGGATTAACATGGGAGAATAGGGCTGTGTGACTGAAAACAAGCTTTCTGACCTTGCCTCTGGGGTCCTACAGTATGCAGCTTTGTCTAATAAGCACTTCCAAACTGATGGTGTTGATCAGTTCATCGGGAGTTGATTTCTCCTTCCTCCCCATGTGAACTCTGCTTCAACTCCAGTGAGCAGCACCCCCACTATTGTGCGCACTGAGTATGGGGAACAGAGCTGTAATGGCAACTGTGGATGATGTGGACTCCTGCCAGGAGGAAGAAATCCTTCCTGTATTTGGTTCACATGTGGCAAAAGCCAGGAGAGTCACTCTCTTCCAAAGACTTATTAGCACCAAATGTTTTTTTTTTAAAAAAAGGTGAAAAGAAACCTGTCATCTTTTTTTTTTTAATAACAAAAAATGTCAAATGCTTTATTCATTACAGATAACTTCACAGCATTCTTATACAAAACATTATTCTCATCTTCACGTTAAGAAGAGGAAAATGATTTTCACAAAAGCATATATCTAACTATGCAGAATTAAGGTTTACATCAATGAAACTCTAAAGCTTATACTCACTGATTTATACCATATTTTACCACTTAATTTATCTTGTCATTCTTACTGATTTTTAGTAAGGATTTTCCCCCCATAATTTTATTGAGAAACAAATAGCAATGAGACAGTTTCAAACCAAATTCGTAGGACAGTTTCAATAATTAACACATTGCATACATTCTTCCTAGTGGTTAATTGCTGTACAAGATGCGGACATGATATCTGATTTATAAACACATTAAAACAAATCCCTCTATTCATTAAGAGAATGTAACTATATATCTATCCTAACCATTTTGAATACACAGATACAAAATGGACATTCATCCGTATCCCCCCTTTTTTTTTGTTAAGTTCCCTTATTTGAATATTATAGGTGTGTAAACTCAACAAAATATTCTAAAAGAGTTCAGTAGTCCATAATAGTATTGGGTTTTCCACTTGACTGGTAATGTCAGAAATTGTTGACCTGAGTCCCCTACAGCTCAGCATAACACCATGGCTTTACTTCTGATATTTCATTTTTATATTTTTCTGCTGGATGGTTAAGACCAAGATAAAGCAAGACCTATGCAACCAGAGTTGTAGCTCTTGGGTCTGATAAGGTCAGTGAAATCCCCTCAGGATTTATCCTGAGATCCTGTACCTCAGATTGTAGATCCTTTGTCAGTGTCAGCCATGTGGATGAATCATGGCCATTGCTTGGCCCATGTGCTCTCTGTGAGAGCCTGAGAGAATGGAAAACTGTCATCTTAATGCAGAATAATTGGTCTCTTAGTCTGTTGACAGTAGGGAAGGGCACCATTGGTTCTTGGGAGTTGTCAGTGGAGGGCTTGAAGGGCCTGAGGAGAAGCTGTGTCTTAGAGGATTCAACCCAGGCATATTTGCTGTGTTTTACAGATCCTGGTCAGCTTAGAATTTTCCCACTCCCACCCTAATGCCAGAAAAACATGTGGTGTCAATGTCTGGCCAAGACCATAGAGTTGAGATCATAGTGCAGGAAGCTGGCCATGCTCAGGATCTCAGCCCAGGGACTTATCTGTATTTACAGCACACCACTAACTGCAGAGTGAGGCTATTGGCCGGGTGCACAGGACGCTGAGCATGTGTATGTTAGCATGTGGAGGATAGCCATCTTGTAAAAGAGCTTTAAAGCTTTAGGGTGTATGAAAGTCTGGTGTTAATCAGCCCATCATCATGCCAGAAGTATACTGTATTTCACAAGAGGAGTTGTTTTTTTAGACAGTTGGTTTTCAGCAAAAGGGACAGAAGTCAGGATATAAAGAGTTTTTAAAACAGTGACTATTTTTGT